ATACAAGAATTAGAGCAGAACTAAAAGAGAGACTAGAAGCAAACAGAGAAGAAAAAGAAATAGTATTTTACACAAATAGCTCACTCAGTAACGAAGATACTAGAAACAAAGTAAGGATAGGATTTAGTTTAGTTCAAATAGATAGTGCAAATAGTGTAGTTTTTAGTTATAAGAGAAGGATAGAAAATTGGTTTTCATCTACTTGAGCGGAGTGAGTAGCTTATCTAGTAGCAGTTTTGTTAGTTCCTAATAGGTACAAAGTAGAAATAAGAACAGATAGCACATGTGCAATCTTTGCAATTGAAAACTGTCTTAAGAATGAGAAGATACATGAATAGTTAAAGTATAAGAATAATAACATTCTGTGTGCAATTAAAAAGGTCTGCTAAAGCAAATCAGTTAAGCTAATGCTGACAAAAGTTAAAAGTTATTTAGAAAACATATATAATAATGTGGCAGATACATTTGCAAAAGAAGGATTATATAAAGAAAACTGGATAGAACTGAACAATATCAGCAACAACAACACAAAGTATATTCCTGAATGGCAAGAGCTAAGTTTAGAAACTCTGCTAAGAGCTTTTGTTAAAAAAGTAGTTCAAACAACATACAAGGCAGAATGGACCTAGCTAAGAAAGAAAAATGATGTAGAACACCAAACAAAAATTCGAAAACAGGATTAGAAAGTCTTTAAGAGTATACTAAAAAGTTGTTGTAAACAATACCAAAACTCTGAAATAAACTACCTGTGATTGTTCAAAAATAAATGTATTAAAAACTTCCTCCCAATAGTAGAAATCTTAAATCGTAGAAAGTTATAATTATACAAAGATAGTCTATGCAAAAGATGCTTTAAGGAAAAAGAAACGATCAGACATCTAGTCACCTATAAAAAAACATTCTAGGCACTTGAAAAAATTGAAGCTGAAGTATGAAAACAGCTCTGTGAAGACAAAAGAAAGGATGAAAACTGGGATCTAAGAAATATATACTAAGCAATCTAATGTGAACAGAAGACAAAACAATAAAAGAAGAAAGAATGGTTAAGAGGCATACTCTGTAAAGAAGACGTTAAAAGAATCAAAAATATTACTAGCTTCAAAAGTATAATAACTAAATTTTGAAACCTTTTCTGGTACATCTGAATAGAATTAGTATATAAAAAAATTTAGAAAAAACTGTTACAAAGATATGGAAGCTTAGGAGAAAAAAGAAAAGATCTCTAAAAAAGAAAAGTACATACAGAAAGAAAAAGAAAAAAATGTTTTAAAAAAGAAGCCCTCAAGGAAAAAAATGAACTACAGAATAGATAAGAATATAGAAAGTTGTAATATTAGTCTTAAAATAGTATTAAATAGCATAGCTAAGGAAGTAAAGAAGACAATTTTAATTAGTTGGATTTAAAAAGTAGTCATGATAGGCTGTAGTATCCTTCCTATATTGATTCGTAGTTCACTTAGAACTATATAAGTATAGGACAAAAGTTACTATAGCAGATCACACATAGGTATCTATAGAATAACTGAGTAAGTCAGGGCTTAAAAAATTAGACATTAGATAGTATATAGCTAAATAATAATGTTTTCAAATAGAAAACAAATCTAAATAAAGTCTTGGTATAACTGCTGAATGTTAAAAAAAAATAAAATTTAATTAGCTAAGAAGACAACTTTAATAACAAAAAAAATTTTAGTTACTGATAATTTTAAGTTAGTATAAAAAATTAATAAAATCTAATTAGCTAAGAAGATAGCTTTAATAATAAAAAAAAAAACTTTATTATTCAAAAGATTTCTAATAATTAAAAAAATTTTTTGCTAAATATTATAAATTACTATATTACAAGTTAATATTTAAAAAAAATATTCAAATTCAAATTAATTAGAATTAAAGTTTGAACTAATATTAAAATTAAAGTTAAAAAACATATATATATATCAAATTAAAAGTTAAACTCTTTTAATTAAAAACTTAAAACTAGTTTATAAATAAAATTTTAAGATATATAAAATTTTTAATTTTTTTCTAATTTTTATTCATTTTTATTACACAAAATCCTGTAATATAATTGGTCAATTATATTAACTTGCAATATAGCAACCTGTAATATTTAACAATATTCTAAAAAAGTTTCTTAATAAAGTTAATAAAACTGATATTTAAAACTATTTTTTAATTAGTAAATATGCTTAAAATTAATATTTAAGATTTTTATCTGATATTAAAAAATATTTTTAAAAGTTGCAGACAAATTTGCCTGCAATATAATTTAAGAGATACTATTTAAAAAAATAATATACACTAAATAAATATTTAACACATTCAATTTTATACACTAAGATACAGTAGAGTTTTTAGATACAGTATATAGATATTTATGTTATTGATCGCATACCGATACCTGCCGAATTTTCAGAAATGGCAGGCGGATCGGTTTTGACAGGTTATCGAGACTAGACTAAACATGATTAAAATCAACGATTATATAATTAATGGTTATCGTATTATTTTATTAAAGGTATAAAAAAAAACAATTGAATATTGAACTATCCAATTATATATATATCGATATCTTTTTTAATTAATTAATAATTAGAAGTTTGCTTTAACTTGCGTTTTTTATAAAAAAGCAAATATAAAAAAATCTAGTAGTTGATACGTGCTTTTCTATGAACTTAGTCCATTTCAGCAAATGAATAATGCACAATAATTTTTACAATAAAAAATTGTACGCACATTTAACAAGTTGTAATCTCTAAATTTGTTTCATTATAAGGACTCCAAGCGGTAGGGCTAATTTTGTATAGAAATAAACCGGGAATTACTTGAATTCAAATATTCTCATCGCCACCACCGCCTCCTATAAGTTGCATGCGTTTAAATATTGTTTTTTTTCTTAAAAAAAAACTACAATTGCATAAATATCGATATGACGTAATACGTACGGAACATACATACGTATATTAATACATATATTATATTATTTTACATTACAGCATTATGTGCATCTGGATTAACGTGTAGAATAATGTCACATGAAACAATTCATACTTAATATTCTTTCTTGAGTAAATGCGTATTTTATGATCATCTTATTATAGTAGTGGTTGATAATTAAAATACTTTTTCAGTTAGAGTTAGCATTGTCATTATCGCTTAATCTCTTATTTACTGTGTATCATAAGCTCTCATATGAATTATTATTTTTAGATGAACATTTAAAATATTGTTCTGTATTTCCCCAAATTTTGGCTACTTACCAAATACTCGATCATGTATGGCAAAAAAAATTGATCGTTGATTTTCTTATTTTTTTTTTTTTTTTTTTTACATTTAACCCGCTATTTTTTCTTTTTCTTTTCTTCATGTAATTTATTAATAACAATTTTTTAGATTTTTAAAAATTCTTAATTCTTAATAGAATTTTTTTTTTGTTTTTTATCTTAAAAAAAAAAAAAAAAAAGAAATAATGAATAAAAGTGCTGATAAATTCATCGGTATGTAACGTAACTCGATGATTCTTTTTTTTTCAATTCTGGATGATAATTAAGTTAATTATTGATTATTGATTAATCAAATATCTTTTGTATTATCACTATTAATGTTATCATTATTAATGTTATCATTATAGGCTGGAACAATTTGAAAGTAGCACCCAGAGGGAATGTTAGAGAATTCGTCGAAAAATATAATGGACACACAGTTATCACAAAGATTTTAATAGCAAATAATGGTATTGCTGCCGTAAAAGAAATCCGCTCCATTAGAAAATGGGCTTATGAAATATTTGGAGATGAACGTTCTATCGAATTCACTGTCATGGCCACTCCCGAAGACTTGAAAATAAATGCTGAATATATTCGCATGGCTGATCAATATATTGAAGTTCCTGGTGGCTCTAATAACAATAATTATGCCAATGTACCTTTAATAGTTGATATAGCAGAACGAACTGGTGTTCATGCTGTATGGGCAGGATGGTGAGCATTATATAATTTGAATTTTTATTATTATCTAATTATCGATAATTTTTTTCCTTTCATTTTTAGGGGACATGCTTCAGAGAATCCTCTTTTGCCTGAATCACTTGCACGATGTAAAAATAAGATCGTATTTATAGGTCCACCTGGTTCTGCTATGCGTTCTCTCGGTGATAAAATATCTTCAACTATCGTAGCTCAGTCGGCTAATGTGCCTACAATGGATTGGAGTGGTAGTGGTATTACTCAGACTGAATTTGATGAAAATGGTCATGTTATGGTTCCTAATCATATTTTCGAAAAGGCTTGCGTGAAGGATGCTGAGTGTGGTTTAAACAAAGCTAATAAAATAGGGTTTCCGGTTATGATCAAAGCTTCAGAGGGTGGTGGAGGAAAAGGTATACGTAAAGTGGAGAATCCTGATAATTTTAAACAGGCTTTCTCTCAAGTTCGAGGTGAAGTTCCCGGTTCGCCGATTTTCATCATGAAACTTGCTGGTAATGCTCGTCATTTAGAAGTTCAGGTTCTTGCTGATCAATATGGTAATGCAATTTCGTTATTTGGTCGTGATTGTTCTGTACAACGACGTCATCAAAAAATTATTGAAGAAGCTCCAGTGACTATAGCAAAACACGAAACTTTTAAGGCCATGGAACAAGCTGCTGTTCGGTTGGCCAAGCTAGTTGGTTACGTTAGTGCTGGAACAGTAGAATATCTTTATAGTGATGATGATTTCTTTTGTTTCCTAGAATTAAATCCGAGATTGCAAGTAGAACATCCAACTACTGAAATGGTTTCTGGTGTAAACTTACCAGCTGCTCAATTACAAATAGCGATGGGAATACCTCTACATCAAATTCGTGATATACGTGTATTATATGGTTTGGATCATAATGGCACTTCAGAAATTGATTTCGATTTTTCGAAACCGGAATCCCTACAAACACAAAGGAAACCTGCACCAAAAGGACATGTTATTGCTGTAAGAATTACTGCTGAAAATCCTGATGCTGGATTCAAACCTAGTAGTGGAATGGTACATGAATTAAATTTCAGAAGTAGTACTAATGTTTGGGGTTATTTTTCGGTCAATTCCGCTGGAGGTCTTCATGAATTTGCGGATTCTCAGTTTGGTCATATTTTCGCATATGGCGAGAATCGACAACAATCACGCAAGAACATGATAATTGCTCTTAAAGAGCTATCAATTCGTGGTGACTTTCGTACAACTGTTGAATATTTAATAAAATTATTAGAAACAAACACTTTTGAAGATAATAACTTTACAACCGGTTGGTTAGACAATTTAATATCTGATGAAAACTTAACAGTAGAGAGACCAGACAAGATGCTCGCTATAATATGTGGTGCGGTCGCGAAGGCCTATACTAAATCTCAAGAATCCTTAGCTGAATATAAACGCTTCTTGGAGAAAGGACAAATTCCTAGCAAAGATGTTTTACAAACTGTCTTCATTATCGATTTTATTTATGAGGGTGTTCAATATAAATTTACTGCCATGCAATCCGCTCCTTGTTCTTTCATTCTATACTTAAATGGTTCCAAGACACAAGTGTCTGTTCGTGCTCTTTCTGATGGTGGTCTTTTAGTATTATTAGACGGCAAGAGCCATACATGCTATTTTCGTGAAGAGGTCCAAGCAACTCGTTTAATGATTGATGGTAAAACTTGTTTGTTAGAACAAGAAAATGATCCAACCCAACTTCGTTCACCATCTCCTGGAAAACTTGTAAGGTTCTTGGTTGAATCTGGCGCTCACGTTAATAGCGGTGACGCGTATGCCGAGATAGAGGTATGAGTTTTAATTCAAATATTTATTTGTCGTTCTTTATTATCTAGATATTGTTGATGAAATATGTCTATTACGGTGTGTAGGTAATGAAAATGTACATGCCTTTGATTGTTACCGAAGATGGTGTCGTGCAATTCATAAAACAAGCAAATTCGACACTTGAGGCTGGCGATATCATTGGTATTCTTACTCTAGATGATCCAAGCCATGTTCGTCACGCGATTCCTTATGAGGGCCAGCTTCCTTTGATGAACCCACCAGTTATAATAGGCGATAAACCTCATCAAAGATACATAGAGGTTAAACAGATTCTAGAAAATATTTTGGATGGTTATGATGATAATACAAAATTACAGAGCAGTGTTAAGGAACTAATAGATCTTCTTAGAAATCCAGAGCTACCTTATTTAGAATTTCATTCTGTTTTATCAACGCTTCCTGGAAGAATTCCGGCAAAACTTTACGCTATTCTGCAAGATGAAACAGCTAAACAGGGTCATGGTTTTCCTGCAAAACATCTTAAACAAGTTATCGATAACTATTCACGTGATTTTGTTGCCCTTGGAGATACTTCTAGCTTTACATCATCAATAAACCCTTTGATGGAAATTATCAATAGATACATGTCAGGAGTTAAATATCGTAAATGGAATGAAATTGGTTATTTCTTGAATAAATACCATGAGGTTGAGGCTCTATTCTCAGACTCCAACAAACGTGAGGAAGAGGTTATTCTTTCTCTACGTGACAGTTATAAGGACGATTTGGACAAAGTTATTAAAATTGTTTTGTCTCATTCAAAAATTAGTGCCAAAAATAGTCTTATAATAAATTTATTGGATCAGATTAAACCCGACAATGTTGGACTAGCTCTTGATAAGTTCTTCTCACCTGTCCTAAAAAAGTTAGCCGAACTTCGAGGAAGGGCTACGACTGATGTTTCACTTAAAGCGCGTGAATTACTAATACATTGTCAACTACCATCATATGAAGAACGATCTGTACAGATGGAACAAATTCTTAAAGCAGCTGTTATTGAAAGTCATTATGGTGATGATGGTTATGACTATCGTACTCCAAGTTATGATTCTCTCAAGGAACTTATTGATACACGATTTGCTGTATTTGACGTCTTACCAAATTTCTTTTACCATAATGATGCGTGGATTAGCCTTGCTGCATTAGAAGTATATGCCAGACGTGCGTATCGTGTATATCAACTTATGGACTTTGAATATTACTCAGAACAAGTTCCCTATATGATTTCTTGGAAGTTTATACTTCACAACACCTACTCAGATACACCAGCTACACCAAAACCACAATCCATCTACAAAATGTCACGTATTGGATCCATATCCGATTTTAGTTACATGACACAACGTACAGACAATGATAACGAACATGTTCGCGTTGGTGTGATGATTTCATGCACCTCTAATATAGAAATTGAACAAAACTTTCCGCGTATTTTTGAAGTATTTCGTCAAAATGGGCGTCGAGCACAAGATCTAACAGATAGTATTGCCAATAACATCATCAACATTGCGTTGAGATTGGATAATGACCCGATAGAAGATGAAATTCTTAAACGAGATTTACAGCCTATAGTTCAGCGTCATACAGTTGAGCTACGAGAGCATGGAATTAGACGTGTCACAATTGTCTTGTTCCGAAAAGGCCAATATCCGGGGTATTTCACTTTTCGTGAACCTAATAATTTTGCCGAAGATCAAACAATTCGACATATTGAACCTGCCATGGCATATGAAGTAAATTTAGGATTTTATCATTTGATCAATAAGATTACTGGTTTATTTATTAACCTTTTTTTTCATTCTGTAAATTAGCTTGAACTTTCAAGATTATCGAAATTTGACATTAAACCTTGCTCTACTGATAATAGACAGATTCGCGTGTATTATGCAATTGGTAAAGAAAACACCTCGGATTGCCGATTCTTCGTTCGTGCTTTAGTTCGATCTGGTCGTATGAGGTTTCTATTTAAACATTAAATTAACTTTTTTGTTTTTTTTTTTTTTTTGTATCTATTTGATGCTTAAATCTTTAATTTAATTCCTTTAGAAATAGCGTGCACACGGAATATCTTCTTTCAGAATCTGATCGACTTTTGAATGAAATTTTAGACACACTTGAAATTGTTACCTCTAATCACAAAAACTCAGACTGCAACCATTTATTCATAAATTATATTCCAACTTTTGTTTTAGAACCGCGTCAGATTGAAGAAGCTGTTAAAAATTTTATTGATAGGCATGGAAAAAGGTTATGGAGGTTACGTGTTACTGGCGCTGAAGCCCGGTTCAAAGTTGAAGATCCTATAAAAGGCAATCAATATCCTCTTCGTGTCATTATTAATAACGTTTCTGGTTATGTTGTTAAAATTGAGACTTACCAAGAGGTTAAAACTGAGGGTGATAACACAATTCTTAAATCGATTGGAAAAATAGGATCCATGCACTTGCAGCCAACACTTACTCCTTATTCAACCAAAGAATGGTTGCAACCAAGGCGTTTCAAAGCTCATCTTATGGGTACTACATATGTTTATGATTTTCCAGAATTATTCCGTCAAGCCGTTCGTACACAATGGAATCGTGCTATACATAATTGCCCTGAATTAAAATGTCCAACAGATATACTAGAAGCCAAAGAACTCGTTTTAGATGAAAAAGGTCAATTGCAAGAAGTTGATCGTTCTGCTGGTACCAATGCATTTGGTATGGTAGGATGGATGCTTACATTATTTACACCAGAATATCCAAAAGGCCGCAAAATTATTGTAATTGCAAATGATATTACATATCAAATCGGCTCATTTGGACCTTCTGAGGATCAGTTCTTTGCTAAAGCGACAGAGCTTGCTAGAAAATTGGGTATTCCAAGAATATATCTCTCCGCTAACTCTGGGGCTAGAATAGGATTAGCAGATGAGATAATAAATCATTTTAAAGTTGCCTGGATTGACGAAGATAATCCTAGCAAGGGAGTAGACTATTTATACCTTGATTCTGAAACTTACAAGCAATCGAGACAACAATCCGTAATCGTTAAGGAATTAATTGAAGATGGTGAAGTTCGATATAAAATCACGTAATTAATTAATCCTTAATTCTTTAAAAATATTTGTATAATTTTATGAACGATTAATCTAAATTTTTAACTGATTATTTTTCATAAAGTGATATTATAGGTGTTACTGATGGACTTGGTGTAGAGTCTTTGAAAGGTTCAGGGTTGATAGCTGGTGCAACTTCACGTGCATACGAGGATATATTTACAATTACCCTTGTCACTTGCCGTTCAATTGGTATGTATTTTCATAGTTTATGCAGTTAATTTAAATAGTTTTTATAAATTATTATTTAACATTGGTTCTCTATTTAAAGGTATTGGCGCATATTTGGTTCGTCTTGGCCAGCGAACAATCCAGAATGAAGGACAACCTATTATACTTACTGGTGCATCAGCTTTAAATAAGGTGCTTGGTCGTGAAGTTTACACATCAAACCTACAACTCGGAGGTACTCAAATTATGTATAGAAATGGTATCTCTCATCTTACTGCTCAAAATGATCTAGAAGGCATTACAAAGATTATCCAATGGCTTTCATATGTTCCATCATCTAAAAATTCACCTGTTCCTATATTCCCCAATTCTGATACTTGGGATCGTGAGATTGATTATTTACCACCTAAAGGGCCTTATGATCCACGTTGGTTAATTACCGGAAAATATGAATCTGATAAGTGGATTAGTGGATTTTTTGATCGTAATTCATTCGTGGAAACGCATAGCAATTGGGCTAAAACTGTTGTTGTTGGTCGTGCACGCCTTGGCGGAGTTCCTATGGGCGTAATTGCAGTTGAAACACGTACTGTAGAGCACATAGTGCCTGCTGACCCCGCTAATTCTGAGTCTCAACAACAAGTTATGAAAGAAGCAGGACAAGTCTGGTATCCTAATTCAGCTTATAAAACCGCACAAGCCATCAATGATTTTAACAAAGGTGAACAATTGCCTCTCATGATCTTTGCAAACTGGCGTGGATTTTCTGGTGGTCAACGTGATATGTTTTTAGAGATATTAAAGTATGGTTCGTATATTGTTGACGCACTTACGAATTACAAACAACCTGTTTTTGTCTATATTGTACCGAACGGAGAGCTTCGCGGAGGTGCATGGGTGGTGGTTGATCCATCAATCAATGAAAACATGATGGAAATGTATGCAGATGCAAAATCGAGGGCTGGCGTTCTTGAACCTGAAGGAATTGTTGAAATCAAATATCGAAAACCCCAACTACTTGCGACAATGGAACGTTTAGATGAAACTTATCGAAATCTTAAAAAATCGTTACAGGATACTTCAAAACCTGAGAGAGAGAAATCTGAAATTAAGATGCTTTTAGAAGCTCGAGAACATGAATTACTTCCTGTTTATTCTCAAATTGCTTTGCAATTTGCAGATTTACATGATACACCTGGTAGAATGAAAGCTAAAAATACCATTAGAAAAGTTTTAGAGTGGCGCGAAGCTAGAAGGTTCTTCTATTGGCGTGTGAGAAGACGGTTACATGAAGAATATATATTTAAAAAATTGAACGATGCTAATCCTAGCCTTACAAGAACTCAAATGAAAGGTTACTTGGCTACATGGTTTTACGATGATATTGGTGTAGAATTGGATTGGGAGGAATCTGATATTGAAATTGTGGATTGGTTTGATAAAATGTTTAACGATTTAGAGACAAACCCCCATAATATTGAAAACAAATTTAAGAAAAATTATGTAATTACTACTAGTACAAAACCATTATCATCAATTGAGATGCGGATTGAAAGGATAAGGAACGAAGCAATATCTCAACAAATCTTTGAATTAGGAAAAACAAATAAACAGGCTGTTTTTGATGGAATATCATCATTATTAGAACATTTGGATCCAGAGGAAAAGAAAAGCATATTAAAACAATTGGATGGAACTTTATAATCTTGAAATATTTGGTGACAATTGTAATATTATTTTAATGATTGTATTTATGTTTTTATAAATTTTTATATAGATATTTTATATTGCATTATTCTTATTTCTTCAATGTTTTTTTTTCTTTTTATATTGTATAAGTTTATGTATTACATAAATTTGTAAATGTTTTTTTTTTCTTTAAAAAACAAAAATTTCATTCAAAAGTCTTTATTTTTTTGTAAATAAAATAATTTTATATGATTTTAATATATCGAGAAAGATTCAAATAATAGAAACTAACTCAAGTTTGAATAATAATACTAATATACAAATTACAAACCTATATATACAAACAGATTTAGAACTTTTTGTGTAACAGACTTTCAAGAGCAAACTAGATAGAAGAAAATACAAACAACTGATCTATATTTCTGATGTCTACAAAAATACATGGTAGCTAACTAACAGACAATAATGAATCCAAAGAAAGTAACTATAACTATAACCAAATTAACTTAATAACTAATACTAATAATAACAAACCATCATATAGCTAAGCTTTCTAAAACAATTGTACTTCACTAACAGGTCTTCAGAACGATGATTATGAAGATAGTAAAACATGACTTAATATACTTACAGATAACATGAATTCCAATCTCAATAATTTTAATATAGCTGCACCATGATTATATTACTAAAGCTTTAGAATCAGCTGAATGTATTCAAGAATTTAAGAATTTATCACTTATAAACTTCAAACCAAACTTATCCTTCACAATATCTTACTAGCTATATTACTAAAATTCAAATACTTTGATACTTAATTTTTCATATATTTTACTTGTAATAAACAGACTACTCTTACAATTTAATAAAAGATTAAAATAAGTTGTTGATATTGTGAAATTTAATTGGATGATTTAATAACGCGACAGAGTGAAATTTGTGATTTATATACTATTGGGGTGCGGGTGCCTGTTGTTATCTGTTATCTCATCTTGTGATTAATATCATCAGCAAAATCTAATCTAATCATTTATGTGGCTGGCTATTGGGACTATGTTCTTTAGAGTCCTTCAAGTCTCGAACAATTCCAGGCTAAACGACTAGGAATGGGCAATATAATTTTTATGTATTTTTAACCCTTACCTATTGTTGTTAATTATTACTTATTACGATTCCAAATACAACTTTAAAGAGGATTCCGAAGTTTAAAAATCTGCATTTGCAAATATCAGTTTTATAAGTAACGGTAATAAAACTGGATGTTACAAATATTAAGTACAGTAATTATAATTAACGGTAATATTTACATTGCCCATCCCTAAAATCGACTCAAAGACGAGACCCAAGTTGAACTTTAAGTTAGCCATCAAACGCCTTTTGGTAATATTCTAACGAAATTTGGGAAATTTGGAATGTTGTACGCATATTGTGTAATCTTTAATTCCATAAATTTTCGTAGTTAATTACAAAATAAAAGTTAAAAAAAAAACACATACTGGCAATACATATCCACCATTTAAATCTATTACTTCATA